AGCTTTGTTGAGGGCAAACTGCAAGGGGCTGAAGATCATCTACTCATCAGCAACTAGGGACAAGTCGAGCAGAAGCACTGCACCCCATGAGAACTGGCCCCCCTGCCACACAGAGCCTCTTCTGGCCCCAGTCTTTCAGCACAGTCCCATCCACTTCCCCTGTAAAAAATTCCTGGGCCCAAGCTAAAACAGTAAAATTGATAAAACCCAAATACTTACTTTGTCAAAACCCTGGGAATTTTTCAGAGAGAATTTTTAGCAAATACCAAAACCGAAAGGCTTTGATTATAAACTAAGTGTTATCATTAAGCTTCAGAGTTACTACCTCTTAAAATGAAGTGGGGTATTTAAAAGCAGTTTTTTCAGGCTGCCTGCAATCTCGGGCAGATGTCATTTTATCTCTTCTTCAAGTCATAAGGGCTAGTAAGTGCTATTTTTTTTTAAATATAAGCTTATATTCTAGAGCACAAGATACAGCCAAAATTTGTGTTTCTGGTTTCTCCTTCTCTTTCATCATATGGACAATTTTAGCAATGTCTCAAACACCATTCCAGGACTGCCTGTTCATATAATTGATATAAAAAAATTACAAGCTGTTATGAAAGCTATTTTTGTTGGATAAAAAGTCATCAACTTAAAGGGTTTCCTGCCCTTTAACTGAATAGTGATGTCGTCAAAATGACAGCATTATGGATCCTGCACCCAACTTTTATAGGCTTGAGTGACATGGATAAAATACATTAATCAGTATGTAGTGTGACAAATTGGAAAAAACAATTTACTGCAAGTCATAGAGACCTACATAAGAACGGCCCCACTGAGTCAGACCCAAGGTCCATCTAGCCCAGTATCCTGTCTTCCGACAGTGGTCAGTGCCAGGTGCCCCAGAGAGAATGAATAGAACAGGTAATCATCGAGTGATCCATCCCCTGTCGCTCATTCCCAGCTTCTGACAAACAGAGGCTAGGGACACCATTCCTGCTCATCCTGGCTAATAGCCATTGATGGATCTATCCTCCATTAATTTATCTAGTTCTTTTTTGAACCCTGTTATGGTCATGACCTTCACAACATCCTCTGGCAAGGAGTTCCATAGGAAGACATTTCAGAACAACTCAACAGATAAAAAGGCAGCGGGACATCTGGCTATAAATCACTTCTTTATTAAGATATTTAACAGGCACAATGGGGAATTAATGGATTAACTGGAAATCTTAAAGGCCATTTCAATAATGTACCGCGTCAGTCCTTCATCGATAACTTTGACAGTTCTAGTCCTGAACACATTCCTCTCTTCAATGAATTTCTCAAAGATATGCACTCCACCTCCCACCCCAAAATAATGTGCTTTGCTAGCCAAATACACGCGGCCATTTTTATCCAACAGTTTAGAAATCGTATCATGCAAAGCACTGTAGTAGTCAGGATTGTAGATGGTCTCGGATGTGAGAATAAGGTCATACCTTGAAAAGGGTTTGTTGCCACTTAACAGGAGTTGGCTAAACTCAGCCCATTCTCCGGAAAAAAATCTCCACTTAGACATTAGAGCTGGTATGAAGTCTGCTTTCTTGTGCTTCTTTGAAGGAGGTTCACTAATTCTGCCATCACCACCACCATCAGTACAGTTAGCCACTACATTAGGCAAGGTTATTTCATCAATCACAGTGTGGTTATAGTCCTGAAAGTGGACTTTTTTAGCA